TGATACATGAGGAAAAATATGCAGAGATCAGAGCAGAACAAACCAGCCAGGGCAAAATGAGAAAGCTCTATGAGGCGCTTAATGCTGGAGGACACCGAGTGAAAAATGCCTTTTATTATGCTCTGAGAAATCATGAACCATACCTCTTCAGAGATTTGGGTAAGAGAATCTACAGTTGGTGTTAGTTTAATAAGTTTATAAACTTGAACCTACCTGTGGGTAGTCTAATGTGAGCTGTCCTGTGGCTGATATCAGGTGGTGAGGCAATGGATTACATCGATAACAACCAGCTCCAGTTAAACTGAATAGTGAATGAAACCTGTTTTCAATTGCATGTTATGTAGGCTACTGTATTGAACACTGATATTAAAAAGAAAATGCTGGCAGGCAAAGCAAATAAGATTGCTGATATCCTGTCCTTGAGCAAAATTTAGCATTAATGCATTGTTCAGTCAAAAGTCATTTTTTTAGATTAAAGTTTGAAACACCAATTAATAACAAATATTAAATACAGTCTAGTCCACAGTGTTAGTAAACATCCTGTAATCTTTCTTTACCAAATGAAGCCCCCTGCACCCAAGAAACTGAAGACCCCTGCAACCAAGACATGAAAACAGACGTCACTTGGAAAATAAGATGCAGATGAAGGAATGTAAAAGAATGCTGTTAAAGGAACAGTTCACACAAATTAAAACTGTCATCAGTTATTCTCCCTAATGGTCACTGAACACCTTTTCCCATAATTTTTTAACTTTGTGTTCCATATATATATATAGATATACAGTGGGTACGGAAAGTATTCAGACCCCCTTAAATTTTTCACTCTTTGTTATATTGCAGCCATTTGCTAAAATCATTTAAGTAAATTTTTTTCCTCATTAATGTACACACAGCACCCCATATTGACAGAAAAACACAGAATTGTTGGCATTTTTGCAGATTTATTAAAAAAGAAAAACTGAAATATCACATGGTCCTAAGTATTCAGACCCTTTGCTGTGACACTCATATATTTAACTCAGGTGCTGTCCATTTCTTCTGATCATCCTTGAGATGGTTCTACACCTTCATTTGAGTCCAGCTGTGTTTGATTATACTGATTGGACTTGATTAGGAAAGCCACACACCTGTCTATATAAGACCTTACAGCACACAGTGCATGTCAGAGCAAATGAGAATCATAAGGTCAAAGGAACTGCCTGAAGAGCTCAGAAACAGAATTGTGGCAAGGCACAGATCTCGCCAAGGTTACAAAA